TTGATTGTGTATCTACATTCCAACAGGTCAATCCACATACTCATCAGCTTAAAATCTGTGACTTTGGAAGTGCGAAAGTCTTGGTTTGTTTTCTGCAGACGGGCATTCTCTAATTATGCTCTTATTTTTACTCTGGGTAATGATTTTACAATACTGAATTGGTTATACATATGACAGGTAAGAGGGGAACCCAACATATCTTACATCTGTTCTAGGTATTACCGAGCACCTGAACTTATATTTGGTGCAACCGAGTATACAACAGCCATTGACATCTGGTCTGCTGGCTGTGTTCTAGCTGAGCTACTGCTTGGACAGGTAGGTTTTGATCTTCAGTAAGTTAATTTCCTTCTTCTTTAGGCTTATATATGTGTGCTAATTAAGTACTATCTATTTCTGGCAGCCCCTATTTCCTGGAGAAAGTGGAGTAGACCAGCTTGTTGAAATCATCAAGGTGATTGTGAGCTTTGAATTTTTTCAACATTAAGCTGTTGGGATAATGGTAATTGTTCTCATAATGATTTTTCTGACTCTCATCCAGGTTTTAGGTACCCCAACTAGAGAGGAAATAAAGTGCATGAACCCTAACTACACAGAGTTTAAGTTTCCCCAGATTAAAGCTCACCCATGGCACAAGGTACTTGGGATATCACTTGTGGTTTATTTGCTTTCCAAGAAAACTGCATGTTAATATTTCTTTTGTTTATCATTGATAATCAGATATTCCACAAGCGCATGCCCCCTGAAGCTGTGGATCTTGTATCGAGGCTACTGCAGTACTCTCCAAACCTTCGAAGTACAGCTGTGAGTATTGATGCGATCCATTATCACTCTACCTCTTTCAGGCTGTCTTTGTGTTTATCTATGTAATCACTAGAAGCCTCAGTTTATCCCAACCAAAAAAAAAAAAAAACTCTATAGTTGTATTCCAAGCTGTTTATGTTATGTTGACCTCATCCTAAGAAATGCTCATTGATTTTATGCTGCATGTGCAAGCCCATGTGGAGTCCATTACATACTTCTTTTTCCTTTCCTATATATGGAAAGTCTGTAGTTGGAGTCTGACCTTAAATATCATGTATCCTATGTATGGGATATGCCTTACAGAGTGGTTCTGCTCCTGATTGAATGTTAATCTGTCTACTTAAGCTTAGCGTGGTACATTATGCCATCAAGATGTTATTGTAAAGGGTTTATGTTTCCAATGCAGTTGGAGGCCTTAGCTCATCCGTTCTTTGATGAGTTGCGTGACCCTAACACCCGCTTGCCAAATGGACGTTTCCTCCCCCCGTTGTTCAACTTTAAGGCTCATGGTAATAAGCATTTTTGGTACTGTACTTTCTCACTTTGATTTTATTCATTGAGATGTCTAATCCTAACCGGTAATTTTTTTTTAATGATCCTGGCATTGATTAGAACTGAAGGGAGTACCTGCAGAGATGTTGGTTAAGCTGATTCCGGAGCATGCAAGAAAGCAGTGTGCCTTCCTTGGGTCGTCCTAACTGTTCTTAGTAGTTGATGTCTGCTCTGCACAGAAAAATGTGGGCTGCTGTAGAACCGTAGCTTGTGTCCCATTTGAATGTGATCGTCATATTGAAGCTGTAATATTTGTCTTTTCAAATCCCTTGTTTATTTGTTGTTATTATTTATCCGCTTTAGATTTGTATGTAGAAGAAAGAAGAGTAAGAAGGTTCTTCTGCTTACTAAGTCCTCAGATCTTAATGGGTTTGCACACCCTTGATTATTATGATTATTATTCTTTTTTTCTTTTTATATTGATAGATTGTCATGTAAGCAGATGTTACTCATATACCTCAATGGTTTGTGTTAGATATGTTTGACAATGCGGTGGTACTAAATGACTCGTTTGCTATCTTTTAGGTGGCACAAGGGATCACCACATCCAGCTCAACAATGCAATTGTGTATTTTGGTGAGCATCGGGGTGTAGCGCGATTTGTGCCTTAGCCGTTAGCTGTTAGCTTTAGAAATGAGGTGGGTTTTATCAGAATAACAGCAAAAAATAGATTTTATTTACATGCTTGTAATGTCACAATGACCTCAAGGTTGGAGGAAGGACAGTTCCCAAGTGAGGAGAGAGAGGGTGTTGAATAGAAAAATACGATTTTATGAAAGTTGATCAGGCTATTGAAGCTGTGCACTTTGCCGCTCAACCAGTGGAGAGGCCGGAGTATGCCCCTTTGCTGTTGCTAAGGTTCTGCATCTGAGGTGTGTTGCAGGGCCTTTCAAACGAGGAAGATGACTTTATAAGTTTTTGTGTTTTCATTTTTTTGCAGTGCAAACGACGTCGTCTCCGCAATGCTTTTGTCTCCTTTTAATGAAACGCGCAGTATTGATGCAATTCTGACTTTCGCAAATTACTACTTTAACCTTTTTATTATCCTCCAACTAAAAAAACCTTTTTTTTTATTATTATCAATTAATCATGTGATGATAGAGAGCACAAACCCCCAAAATCACTTCCCAAATCTCTCGAACTTTCTCCAGTGCAAATTTAAGTATTCATAACGTCTTGAAGATACTTATTAGGTAATATTTCATGTGGCTTTTATAGTTTATTTCTCTCACTTTAATTTCCCCCCTCCTCTTTAATCTTGTACGGCGAATTGAGTATTTTATATTTTGGGATTGATTATTGTGCTTAGATGAAAATTAGTATTTATATTTAATTATATTAAACTGATTATTATGCTTCAATAATAATTAGTAGATTTATAAATTTTTCTTGTCAAAACGATTTATGTCTCAAAAAACTTACTCTTTAACGCTTTGATGCTTATGATTCGCTTTGTCGGACCAAATACGTCTCGGCTCTTTGCTTTTTCATTATTTTTTTTTTTAATGAATTATGAATACCATTAGTATTGTTTAAATTCTAAGGGTATTTGGTTGTCTAACTTTTTTTTTCTTTAAAATAGAATTTTTAACCTTTTAAATATTGCACATCCCCTGAAAAAAAATTTGGGTCCGTCATTGCATGCAACATGCATTTGTAAAAGATGTCATTCACACCCTTGTAAGTGTCACTTCTCTCTTATGAATTATAACAGAGAAGTGTATCTCAGAGCGTTAATCACATCTCCTGCAAAGAAATATATATTTTTCTTGAAAAATAAAGAAACCTCTCTGAATATATGAAGGACATGGATTTGTCAATAGATGACATATCTTTTTATTGGCAAAAATAATATTGAGAGAGAGAATTTGAACACAAAACATGAGGTGTATGTTGGATGATATGGACTTGGTCGACTTGGCCCGAGAAATTGCTATTTGACTCTTGCTTCTATAGACAAAGTTCAGTTTGACATGCGTACAAAGAACTTTTTTTTCCAGTATTTCTATCAAGTTATTTTTGTATATGTGTCAAACTGTGAGGAAGTGAACAACAACTATTTTTTATTTTATTTTGTCTTGAGCACATATGTGAAATTCCTTGTGTATGATCCGCCGCCCCATAGACAGTTGAAAATTAAGCTACACAGTTATAGTTTGAGTTGAACCCACCTAAACCTAATCATTTCAGTATTTGAGGCAGAGAGATGATGAAGGTGGACCATTAAAGAAGCAAGCAATCAACTGAGAAGCCCTGGGCGTATAGATAGAGTGACATCAATTTTGGTCGGCCAGAGAGCTACTGCTGCGATACCACAGAAATATATTAATATTGGAGAGGGGCTGATAGTGGACTTGCCAACTTAACAGAAAGATAACTGGAAACCTTTTCGGCCAAGCCACACCAACTCATTTCCAATACCAATTGGAAAACCGAAAGGGACCGCATGCGTTTGGTTTAAAATGAGCTCTATTTTTTTTAGAGTTTTTTTATTTAAATCATGCACTTTTCTTTGTTCACTCCATGTTTTAAGTTTATTCTAACTTCTAATTTGAATTTTCACAATTTCTAAGAAAACCCCACTATCTTCCCAAACTACCCCTAAATACACACCCAATAGAAGAAAAAAAATTAAAAAAACTCATCAACTCACACCCCACACCCTGCTATCTTGTCCCTCACCACTCTAAGTTCATCTCAATCTCACATTACTTAAAGAGATAAAGACACTGTTGTCGAACTCAATTGACGATCTACAAGCCACTATTTGCATATCATATTTAGGGTTTGTGAAGAAAAGATGAGAGTGTAGTAGGTTTCTTAGATTGAAAGAAAAGAGTAATTTGGCAATAAGGTGTAGAGGAGTTTATGTTTTTGTGTTTTTCTAAAACTTAATATGAAGAGTGGTGGGGTGTGTGTATAGAAGTATTAGGATAAAGTATCAAATTGTATAAATGCTCAAATGCATATGCTATCAAACTGCTGTTGGAAATTTTGGACGAATTCTTAACTGCGAATCGCATAAACACTAATTCGGGTTGGCCACAAATGACAAAAATTTGACGTAATTCACTCCAAGTTGGACTATGCTAATGAGAAATGATGTCAATTTCACTAGTGGTAATATCATTTCTTTGAAATGAGTTGCAGACAATATGCAGAAGGTCCCCTAGCATTATCTACTTAGCAGACCAGGTACTTGTCAAATCTTATTGGAAGTTATGATCATTTTAGCGTCAACCCTCTGCAATGCATATATAATTCAATTATTTTGAAATGGATTTTGACTCGTCTTCCAAACCAAACCCAAAAAACGGAAAGAGGGAGGGAGGCTTATGGTTCGTGGCCATTATAAAAATATATGCCACTTCTGCAATTCTTCTTATTCTGTTACCTTTTTTCTGAACCATCACAAATATTTACAAAATAAAAAGAACTGAAAAAGTGGCCAATGCCTAAATGTTATTGGTCGGTTCCATTTCCCGCCCCTAGAACTATTAAAAAGAAGAGAAAAAAAAGAAGATAAAAGTTAGACTGACCTTCCACTACCACTTAGCAATAGTAAGTACTATATATACAGACTCATTCTGTTTCTGCATGAACTCCAAACCAAACAAACACAACCTCATCTTGTGCAACTTGTTCTAGTGTCTTCTTCTACTTCCCAAAACATAGGGTTCATTTATTCTCACCTTTGTCTGATCACCATTTCTTGAATTTCAGTGAATCTTTCTTTGTTAGTTATTAATCTTATAATTGAAGTGAGGAACTTTGTAATGAAGAACTGCAAATTTTCACTAAAGCTAGTGTTGTGCATTTCATTCTTTTGCTTCTTTCTGTCCACCCAAGCCAGACGGCATAACCATAAACACAAGCACACCCACCCTGACAAGCCATCCTACATTTCACAGCCTCCTTCCCCTCCACCTGATTCTGCTAGCCCTCCTGAAGGGGCTACCAATCCTAATAATAGCTCCTCTGGTGTTTTCGATGTGCGGTCGTTTGGTGCTGTTGGGGATGGCCAAACAGATGACACTGAGGCATTTAAGATGGCTTGGGACACAGCTTGCCAAAGTGAATCTGCAACAAGGATCCTTGTTCCCCGAGGTTTCTCATTCATGATTCAATCTACAATATTCACTGGTCCCTGCCTTGGGGGCCTGGTGTTACAGGTAATGTACTTGAATTATAGGCCTCTTTGATTATTCTTAGTTTAGGGCACTTAGGTGACGAGGGACTAAATATGTATTTTCCTTTTTTGGTATTGGGTACATTTGGTACTGAGAAGGTTGATGGAACTCTAGTGCCACCTGATGGACCAGAGTCTTGGCCAAAGAACGCCAGCAGGCATCAATGGCTTGTCTTTTACAGAATCAACCAGATGTCGTTGCAAGGGGGTGGTGTAATTGATGGGAAAGGAGAGAAATGGTGGAATCTTCCCTGCAAACCCCACAGGGTATTTTTAAATTTTTCATTCTGTCTGAATACATATTTTCTTTGATTCAAGCAACTGCTGATCCCATATGAAATCTAATGGCACAGGGGATCAATGGAACCACATTGCCTGGACCATGTGACAGCCCAGTTGTAAGTTGCAAACATTGCTTATGTGTTGTGTATATCAGCTACTTTAAGTAATGAGGTTTAATTCTACACAATGAATTTTAATGCAGGCCATTAGGTTCTTCATGAGCTCCAACTTGATAGTTCAAGGACTTAAAATCAAGAATAGCCCTAAATTCCACTTCAGATTTGATAACTGCAGGAATGTCCATATAGAATCGATTTCTATATCTGCCCCTGCTCGAAGTCCGAATACAGATGGGATTCACATAGAGAACACAAATGATGTCCAAATTTATAACTCAGTAATTTCAAATGGTTAGCCAAAAACCTTCAAATCTTCTACGTTTCTCCATTTACTCATGAAAGTTCATAATTAATCCACCTGTTTGTTTATTTGTTAATAGTCTCTGTTCCGTTCTGCAGGTGACGATTGTGTATCAATTGGGTCAGGCTGTTATGATGTAGACATACGGAACATCACTTGTGGACCTGGTCATGGAATCAGGTACACTTTTGTTTTCCATAAATATACATTTCACTAAATTACAGCTTATCCTTTTCATTACAAACTTAATTTTCATTAAATTTGATCAATGTGTTCCTTGTACATCCACTCAGCATTGGGAGTCTAGGCAATCACAACTCGCGAGCATGCGTCTCTAACATTACAGTTCGCGACTCAATAATCAAAGGGACGGATAATGGAGTTAGGATCAAGACATGGCAGGGTGGATCCGGATCAGTATCGGGAGTAACATTCAGTAACATTCACATGGATAATGTTAGGAACCCGATTATGATCAACCAATTCTACTGCCTTAACAAGGGGTGCACCAACCAAACTTCAGCAGTCTTTGTATCAGACATACTCTATTCAAACATAAAGGGAACCTACGATGTTCGGAGTTCACCGATGCATTTTGCTTGCAGTGATGCTCTCCCATGCACTAACTTGACACTCTCAGAAATCGAGCTTCTTCCTGCTGTAGGAGACATAGTATCGGACCCGTATTGTTGGAATGCTTATGGAGAACTGCAGACACTAACAATTCCACCAGTCTCTTGCTTGTTGGAGGGTGTTCCTCGATCCCTACTGGACAATGACATTGAGCATTGCTGATTCAGTGGGCTCATCTGTAAAGCCATCCATGTAACATACAAAATTATTAAAAGACGGATTATGAATCTGTCAGTCTAGTAGATCTACTGATGTCATTATAGAGGAGTGGTGTTTTATGTGCTTCCTATATTTATAAATTATAAAGTTACGTTTCTCTACATCTTTATGTACTTCAGTAAGTCCCACATGATTTTTGCTTCTAATTAATAGAGATTATCAAATTGAACTCTAATCCGTCACAATCCATATCAGTAACACTCAGCGAGCATTTGTGGAGAATAGATATAAGAAACTTTTCTGCTAGAAGTAAACTTGCAAAGGATGCAAAGAAAAAACAAAAAAAAAAGCAGCCACGAATGCCTTTCAAAGTTGACCAGTTGTTTCCTCTATTGAGTGCACCGAAAAGTATGTGAAAATGCGCATGTGATATAGAACAATCTAGGCAACATAGCAGTTGATTTTGAACTTGGGACCAGCAGGGCAGTTTAGAAGTCTTGTGTAGAAAGTGTACAAGTTGGATTGCAGCTTCAAAATACATGTACTCTCATCTCAAGCATTCTACAAGTCACATGATTTATGCTTACATGAGTTTAGTCTGTTTCATTTCAATATCAATATATCATTAAACCAGCAAAAGCCACCTATCAACTTCAACTCTATGCAGTCTCAAAAGATTATAGTAATTAAAAGCTTAATTCTCTGATGCATGTTTGTCAAGTTGATGCATAGTAAGCTAGAATTTTTTAGTTCTTCCCTATCTGCAACAACAAAGTCCCACAAGTGAAGGAAGCAACCAATGAACTCTCTTGCAGATACAGTATTAAAAGTCTAAAAGGTGTTAAAAGATGTGGTTGCAAAGTTTTTAGCACTAAATTATAAGTGTAAAGTTTTTGTGACATAGCTAGTCAGAATTAATTATTGATGGATTTGGGTAAATGATGACAGATTTACAATACCACCCATTAATTAAAAGAAAAAGTAGAAGATTCGAATTTTTCTCTCTATGCCAATATTGTTTGTGTGTGGAACTTGGAAGATACAGAGACAAGAATGAAATAAACAATAGAGTTAAAACTGAAAAAGGAGGGTACAAACAGGCATAAAAAATATTCCTGGCAGTGACAGGATGAGAAATCAAGCTAATAATTTTAGAGAATAATATATGTGAGAGTGAGTGAAGTTACGAGGATTGTCGTCCACAGCACTAACTTTAATTGGAATTGGGAGCTCAAGTGGAGGTTGGGAGGGAGGGAAAATTCTCTTTAGCTTTTCTTGCAGCACGCGCAGTGGCTGCCTAGACTACAATAATAATCATAACCATGGATGGTATGGTAGACTGTTCAAGTATATGAAAATGAAGATCCAGTTGAGTGTGTAGTGTTTTGTAGACTTTATGTGTGTTCTGATAAAGTGTAGGTCGGTGCACGGGCTAATGTCCAATGGCCACCCACCAAACTTGCCTTTTTTAATCAAACATATACTACAGCTAACCCTCAAGAGCCTCAATATCCATATCTACATCTAGTTTAGTTTCTGATGCCGTGTCTTTTTTACTATCCCACTCTACTTTCCTCCATGTTTACAATGGCATTCGCACAGAAATAACGTGCGGACATCCGGATGAGAGAATAATTGTGTACATATATATATATATATATATTCTTTTTCATTGAGGGATGGGGCTTACTTGTAGTTTTGTGCAAAATTTTCAGTACAAATAATAGTTTATCAACTCTGAAACTGAGATGTATCTTAGAAAGTTTCTCCAACATAACCATCAGGGTCCCCTACCTTTTTCTGCATTGCAACTTAAGCTTTTTCAGCTTTTGGCCCATGTCATTCTCTCAGTTTCTAGCTTACCCAATTTTCCCATTCCAAAGTATGAATATGGCTTTGGCTTGTCATACATTTTATTGATTTAATTCCTAAGAATATAACTTTAGGAGTTATGGTATCAGATTTTTGGTTTTGAAGCCTCTATGAAATTCTTATTCTCCATTTATTTGTTAAGGTGAGGCTTCATGTGAGGTGTAGTGGGGAGAATTATTGTCTAGAAATTTAAGTTTTCGAGATCTAGTGATTGTCCAACAACGTGTATACTCCACACATTAATCTGAAATCCATTCAAATTTCCATGTCATTTTTTTAATGCGAATTTTTGGAAGGTTTGAAGTTACAAAATCATGAGTGTTAACCTAACCATCCATGGTACATGATGTGCACAAAGAAAAACACAACATCTGGACCAACATTTTCCATGCTCAGTGTCAAAATGGATTTGAAAAATTGAACTTATTTGGAAGGTACATAATGGCAGGGGAAAAAATAGTGCTTCTGCTAGCAGCTTCAAAAGTAGAGAGAGAGAGAGAGAGAGAGAGAGAGAGAGAGAGAGAGAGATCTGAAGCGCATACATACCGCCATAGAAATGCTGGAATGTCGCATGAATATGGGCATGGCAGGCTGCCTAAAGCTTACCCAAAAAGAGAAAGGAATCTAGCCCACTTAGATCATCTTCCATCTACCCACCACAAACCAAGATATAAATAAATAAATAAATATCAGTAGTACACGTAAAGAAACAAATTCATTTGCCATGCTTGGGCTTATTGAGATGTAATTAGAGAGGTACATAGTTGTGGAATAAAATCAAGTGCAACTTCTACTTTAGCTGTTAGTGGAAGAGAGAATAAGAAGCTTATTTGATCAATCATTTATGTCCTTTTTTCTTTTCTCCAGATCTTTTTTCTTAGCTGTTAGTGAAAATTGCTGCATAAGAAAATAAATGGACTAATCACAGACGTAATTTAGCAAATTATGAAACAAGACCTAGTCTTTGATGTGTCAAGCCCTGATTGGTTGCTTCTGCGATAAAGAAATTTCACCATTAAATGAAATTTGCAAGGGTACATGCTACAAAGTAAATACTTTTATTTGGGGGGTTGTCCGATGAACTTCATTGAATCTAGTACAGAGTGGGGACTTCGTGTTGGCGAAGGATGCTGGGGAAAAAGTGTTCAATGAAAAGATAAAAAGCTACTGAATTAAAAGCGTATTAGTCAGTCAGTGTCTTGTCATGTGTGTTACACAATTTCTTTCATGAAACTTATGTTGGCTGCATTTCAGGAGTCTATTTGATCTTACTGGTCTTTTCAATTATAAATAAACAAATTTTTGCTGGTTTTTCATTGATAAGATTGCACATTCATCTTCGTTTTAACCAATCAAATCACACTACATAGTAGTTTTTACAGACAAACCAAGTTGAGAGCAAAGGAGAGTCACCCCTCTCTTCACTTCAGTGTTGCCCCAGTCTAGAACCAAAGCTTGGTCTAGAATTTTTTAGTTGGTCTAAGTTAGTAACTGCTTCTCCTTTAGGTAGGGCGTTGCACGTTAGATCAAGTGACAAACTACGGTTCTCGTGAATCAATATTAGGTACTAGAGACTGAACTTGGACAAATGTATGTCTTCATCTTTTGCCTTTCCAACTTCCTACAGAAGATAAATTCACCTAATAAGTTCACCAAATTAATATAGAAAATTCATAAATCCAGTTGGTGAGAATAAAATGTAACAACAAGTGAAATTATATTCATTAAGCCAAAATTATATCATAAAGTCTCCAAAATAATAGTAAAAAGATGTAATTTGAGACAAAGAAACTTGTCTGCTAATTGACACAGGGCATAAAGAAATAGGAGCCAACTAAAGACTCCACTACACTGAATCGGATATGGATGTTGAATTTCTCTCTCTCTGTACAATGTTTTGCTTACCTTTTCAGTTTTCAGACTGATGGCAGTGTTCCAAATACACTCGTCATTGCGAACTGTGAAGTTGTCAAACCTAAAGGTTGCAGCTGCAGAGCACATATCACAGGTTACGTCTGCCATGAATGTATAAGAATGTGTGAGAATAGTGGTAGTGCATAAAATTTAATGGTAGAACACCATCATTATCTATCCTTAATATGGGGAAAGTATGCACCTTAAAAGTTTCAATCCCAGGGCTGCAGTCAAGGCATCAGTTGCCCAATGAAGTGGTGAACAACAGTTACCACCCTTTTAAGCTTCCTGAAAAGTAGAATAGCATGTGGAATGGACTCAATGTAACTATCAAAATTTTGAGAAAAGTAAACCACTGAAGAGCGATTGATAAGGATATTCAAACATGCGCAATAACAATGTATTCATCTCAACCATGATATACTAAAATTTTGAATCTATGCCAACCTGTGCAGTAACAGCCATAGAAACACCGTGTTCAGTCCATCGCTTGAATTGCCTGCACAAGGATTTGCACTCGACAGGTTTGATCAATGTTGTTGAGGAGTAAACCTGCACAGAAAATAAATATATAAAAAAATCACAAAAGCTACTAGGTTTGAAACACCTATGCTAACAATACTTGCTAAAATGCAAACTATAAATTTACAAGCAAGAAATAAACAAAAGAAAAGGCACCTCTTGCCAAGTGCTTGAAGCCAGTGGGTCAGCTGTTGTGATACTCCTATCTTCAGCAGCAGCATTTGTGGAATCCATCAAGGCAAGGGATAAAGTATTCTCAATATTATCAGCAGCATAATCATCCAAACGGACTGAAAGCAATAGCAACATAGTTAGCAAAGCTTCAGGGAAAATTCAAACTCAAGTTCTAATAGATGATATAATATAAATCGTGCCATATTGCAGAACGAGCAGTTACTTCCTACCTGCCCTTCATACAGGTCAAAACCCTTCCAGCCTCTTCCTTTGTTTTAGCTTCCACTACACCTCTTGCATATGCCTCCAGACTTGAAAGTGTTTTGCCCTTGGATTGTTCATCCATATCAAAACCCGAAAATGCACTAGAGATCCCAGAGACATCTAATTCTGTCTCACACCGGAAAAGATTTCTTATTGAAGGCCAGGTTTCACCATTAACTCCATCTAGAAGGGCTTCCAACCGGTCTTGATAAGGCATCCTCCAATTTTTACTGCAAAAGTAGTCAACAATAAACATATAGGGAATGAAAACCAGTGAGAAAAAGTT